CCATGCAGGAGGTCCAGCAGAGCTTGATTTGTATTTCTAGCAGTTGGTTTGCTCTAGAAGAAACACTGGATTCAGCCTGGCAAATCTGAAAAAGCTTGGTGATACTCTGGAAGAGATTATTTTTCCAAAGTATCTCTACTAGGCACTGACAGTTCACCTCCAACAAGTGCTCCTTCATCTACTGATCTCAAGCTGACAATGAGCTCAATCCTGTAAATATCAATTCACATAATGCAATTCTCCCTCTGGTGTTAAACAACTAGAGACTACCTACACAAGAATGAGCAATTTTTCAAAACCGATTTCAAGTAGTTCTCACTGGTTCTATTTACCTTTGGGAAGCAACCCCTAACAATCCCACAACCCCCTATAAAACACTGTATTAATGGGCAGATGCCTTAGAGGGCTTCTGTCTTCCTCTGTAGCTCTGTACACTCATCCTTGCTGAACAGTGAAATCTAAATAGCCGAGCAAAGGTATGGTTGTACATGGCAGGTCTGAGCCTCTGAGGGATGCTGCAATAGTCACTGAACAGCTTCCTGCAACAGTGTCAGAGTCAGGACGAACGCCAACGGTCAGACAGACAGCACAATCACTTTCCTAGGGATGGAGAAATATACACCATGTCTATGTGACAAGCATCAAATAAACGCATATATCTCAGAATGTAGTTATCTTAAATATCAAAAAATTCACGGACACAGACATGTAAACATTTAAAATTAATTTTACTTAACTAAGACAAAGAGTTAAAAGTCCAATTTTCACACGAGGCACTTAGAATCTATAAACCTACAGAAACTAAAGTTGACCATGTCCCCTGCACTTCCCAGCACTGACGCACCTTCTAGAAATAAGCAGGTATTTTTGGAAATACTATTCTATTAAAAGTAGTGAATAGAAGAGTGGTAAACAATTCCCCTATGCACTGACAAGTTAAAAGGCTGTTTACTTAAAATATTTGTCATTACAAAGAGAATTGTTTGCTGGTAAAAAAACCAACAAGAACACCACAAACAAAACAACACAACATCAAACAAAGCAAACTATTTATGTATACCATCTGCAAGACTGTTTAGAAAGAAATACAAGTGTCTTAATCTGATCCCCAGTGCTAGTCTCAGATTAGAATGCCATCAAAGAGTACTCCACAGTGGTTTATGAACACAGAAGTCACACAGTATGAGATCTTCACACAAATAGTATATCAAACCTATTATTAAACATTTGAAAAATACAAAAGCGAAAAACAAGACCAGTTTTAGCACTGTCAAAAAACATAAACACTAGTAACAAAGAATCTTTCCTATGTTCATCAATACTAACCAGTTACAAGCATCGCCTTCTCATATCTTATGCATACTCTGCATTAAAGTCTCAAAAAACAGGAGAAAAGAACAGACAAGCGAGATCAGCATTTACATTTTCAAGTTACCTGAACAGAAGAAAAATGCAAATCAAGTGCTTGTCACTGCTGTTATTCTACAAAAATTGACATCCTTCCCAAATTGTTTTTTAGTTACAAAGTTCTAAATACACACATACATGGATTCAACTGTTTATTTTTTCATAGCACAAATTGTATTTCCTGTGAGTTTATGCAGTAAAAAAAAACTGTAATCGGTACTTTTTCTCATCAATCAATAAAATTTTATTATTTCTGAGCTGTCTTATGTATAAAACAAGTTCTGTAAGTTCTTCTCCACTTACAGACACAAGTATTAAAAAAAGTTCCAAACATCAATAGATGAGTGCAATGATATTCAGTCTAAGTTAATCCCCAGACATCCAAATCCATGAATAAAAATTCATCAGTTTTAAATACACTGAGCCTATTAAGCAAGAACAAAAGCATATGCACAAAAGAGCTTTTAATATATTTCAAAGCCCACAAGAGCCACGGTCTCATTAAAATTATAAATTACACAAACATGGAATAAAGATTCAAACTGCAGTGCAGCTAAGCAGATTACAGAAAACCCCGCGTTCCATATGATAACACACCATGGCCCTCCCAGATGGGGGCTTGGAACAAAAAGGCCATCACTGCAGCTAGGGAAAACCTCCTTGTGATCTCTGGTTTCTGTTCAGCAGATGACAGCCAAATAATATGTTGATTATTCTGTTTGTGCTGCTAAGCTTGTAAGATGGAATAAAAGCGATATGATCTATTGTGAACTCAATGCTAATGTGTTGCTCCACTCATAAATAATATACGGAATTTAATCTGCAACTATCTTTTTATCTGAGTTCCAGGTTCTAAATGCATGAACTAAAATAAAAAGCAAGCATAAACTAGTATTTAATTTGATGGTTTAAAGTAAAAGATACAGCTGACAACACTAAGTGAGAAAACTGACTACTCGGTGAATCACATAAGTAGAGGTGCCTTTCTCAAATTTAGCAAATGATTATCTGCTGAGGCACAGAGTACCTGCAAGACGCTGCGCACACTCCAGCCACAAACTGCATTATATCACTGATACCAGATTACAAAAAAGGGCCAATATGGCTTATTTTACCACAGATAACCACCCCAAAGCCAAACTTCAAACAAGAACACAAGTACTTGTAGAACAGAAACAACCATTGTGTAACTTCACTAATATTACATCTCTGACTGAACTGCCTTCTTAAAAACTGCTGAAGTTCTTAATAAGTGATCAGATTTTATTTCATTTAAGTTTAATAACTTGGCTTGTTCCAATTTTGCTTGTTCTTCCATAATATACCACCTTTTTAAAAATAGTGATTGCTCATACAGCTCCTTTCACTGATACGGTGTACATGCTGAGAAGACCGATGTTCTTCCTACAATTTATTGTCTGTGAATTTGTTAAAATTTCTATTTTGCTAAAAATTCTATTCAAAACAAAAGATACCTTGCAGCTTGGCAATAGCATGAGAACATCAAGACCAAACACTGCTTCACACTTCATGGACCAATGGAAGCACAGTTGATAAAGAGAAGTGGTGGAAACATGCTGCTACAAGAGCGTACAACAATCCTCTCAGAAACATAGAAGTGTATTTAAAAGAAGCTCAATTACATTTCCTCCTTCGCTAAGGACACAGAGACAACTCATGGAATTAATAAAAATATGGAAACTGAAGAGATACTAGAACCATGTCCATGTATGACATAAATTACTTCCTCGAGAATGAGTTTCCCCATTACAATGAAGTAACACATAGATATTATTTTCATATAAAAAACAAGACAGGACCTTGAAACAGTTAGTGAAGCTCATGCTTATATTAGCAACCACAACCTTAAGTTTTACAGTATTTACAACCTTAAGTTTTACAATACTTACAATACAATATAACCTTTACAATATTGAACGTTATTCTGCAGTTACCAGTTTACAGCATTGTTATTTCTATGACCTGGATATTTCCGTTTCCCTCCATCTTTTTCAGTTTCTGCAACTTCAAATATTAATTTATTTTTATTTATCTTACATATGCAATCTTACAAAAAATGCAAAATAGTACCTGGGGTCGGGGGGGGGAAATGGTAGCATCCATGCAACTCAAGCACCTTCTTACAACAATTTTATATTACTATAACCAGAACTTTTTTCATATTCTCATGAAATTCATATAATGGAAAGGTTTCAACAATAAAACAAACTTTTCCAGCTGTTGTCACAGCACTAGTATCTAAGCTAGGAAAAGCTAACTTAAGTCAACCCAAACTTCAATGCACACTGAGTAGGTACTAACTTGGCGTGAGTAGACAGCACTGCAGCACAAGGGAGCTAGCTTGCTTCGGTAGCCCTACTCCTAGACAGAGGCTCCTGAAATGGGATTTCAGCAAAGACAGCAGTTTGGGCATGGAATTGGCAAGGCTCAGTATAGAAGATGGAAGAAGCTTAATCCATTGACAAAGATTAATGAAAGTTTGCTAAAATAGAGCTTGACTATAAAAAAAAAAGCCAGATATTCAGTGTTTTCTGCTTTTTTTCCAATCACAGTATTATTCCAAATTTGGAACAATGTATGTTTTCTTAAGTAACCAGCACTGGATCTGGCTTTTTATATTTAAAGTGAGTTTTACTGGATTGCTTCTGTTTTACCTAACTTTATAATCCACGCTGAAAAATCTAAATTTTAATTCTTGTCTACTTAAAAATCCAAAATGCCTCTTTTCTTCATCTACTGCTCAATTACCTGATTAGTTTCGCATTCTAAACAAGTTCTTACAAGAGTCATATCTTTTCAGAAGCAAGACTTCTGTGTCTGCGCTTAGAAAAGGTATAGTTACACAGCTCTATGGAATTATTTACCAGCAGCACATGGTTCACCCCTCACTCTGTGGATAGTCACGATACTGTGAAACTAGATGGAAGTCCATCGAATACATCTGAATGTTCCTATGACTCTGCAGTATTTGCCCTCAGTGAAACCTGAGGGTTGTACAGTCTTGTGAAGCCACTGACCAACATCACGACTTGGGAAAGCCAGAACTAGCATCATCCTGAGCTGGGTCAGTAACTGCATCGCGATTCCCAGTGCTATATAAATTACTACATCTAGCTCCTTGTAACACACATATATGCATTTCAGTTCAACCACTCCTCTTTTGCATGTTTTTATCTGATTAAAGATTCGGTAGTTCATAAATCGAAGAACGGGCAATAAAGGGGAAAAACTGCTTGTTAGAGGATACTACACTATCTGAAGTTACTTCCATACTGGCAGTACTTGAATTAACTTACATTAACCTGAATAACACAATTAACCTGAATTAACACTAGCACTAACCTACCTGTCTGGAATATCTACGGAAGCCACAACGATCAGAATACGTCATTGGCCAGTGCACTGGAAAGTAGAGGTTCCAAGGTTGTGGGACTCACCAAGAAGTCACATCCTTACATGTCAGCACATTGGCAAAGATTCCCATCTTTGTGATCATCGAGGTTTTGAGATTTATTTTCAGTTAACTGTCAGTTTATCATTCTGCCTCAGCAGAGGAACTCTGTGATTCTCACCTAGCATGCCTATCGTACTTCAGTGGGTGTCAGAGCCTGTTGTTGAAAGCTAAGCTGAAAAACAATGTCAGCAATACAGATTCTATACTTCAGCACAACAGTCAGAGGTTACCTGTAAGCATAAGAATAGGTAACATTTATTTTATGTAAGAGGGGAGATCAAGCAGGTGGGTCTGTGCAACTATCAGACTTATAGCCCAGATTTTGTTTACATTTAACTTCAGAAGCTACTGCAGAAGTTGGCTAACATTAGAAAAGAGGGAAAATCCTCTGTTGTGAAAAGTCCTTAAAAATATTTCAACAAGCAGAGATGAACTACAGTTTTAAAAGAATTCAGAAGGTGATTGATTAAATCTTTTCTGGCCATGGGCAGGCCTCAGGTACTTTGCCAGAGCATTTCACAGGTTCCAGGTCTCACAATACTGCAGAGATGATGGACAAAAAAATAGCTAAATCCAATAAAAAGCACCTTCTATAAAATCCCACAACATAGGTGAGGAGCAAACATTACCTGTATTTCAGCACCTGCCAATACAGTAGATTTGTAATAGAAACAATGTGGTTATTTGGAATAATGTCTTAGAAGACTAAAAGCCTTAACAACTTAGCAGAAAACAATGATTTTTTTGAAACCCAGAATGTGTCGATTCTTAACCTTTGTAATACCAGCATATCAGGAAAAAAAATCTTATAGCAACTATAAATTCACTCCAATGATACATATATTTTTACAGATATTCAGTGAATCTTGGGCTCTAAAAGCACATTAAGTTATTTTGTACTTTTGCATAAACTGCACTCATATAAATTAAATTTTAAGAAGTCATAGCTATTAACCTTTCCTTTCCACAGATCCTACATGATTACCTACATTATTTACCTAGCTTTAGAAATGCTTATTTAATGTGTGCAATCAGATTGAAAGACAAAACTGAAGACTCAAAATATCAAAGAATTTAAACTATGTATTTCTAGTTGAAATAAAAATAAAGGTTTAAATTTTTATCACTGTTGTTCATTATACCCACAGGGATGCATTTAGGTAACATCCAGAGACTTTCTGAAGAAAACAGGATTCTGTTTTATGTAATATTGTACAAATGGTATATCTTAAACCTTCCCACTAACCCTCACGCTTTCTACAGACTGATTAGATAAGCAGTCTTTAAGCTTTTTTCATACTGAAAAAAAAAAAGCCAGGTCTTTTGGTGTCAGAACTTCCAGGATTAAACATTCTTTCCAGTTGTTGGCTCATGGCCTGAAGATCCTGCACTTTCAAACTTATCCCATTCTAGCTAGTTCAAAGATCAGAAAAATGAAGCCATCTTCTTTGGAGCCATAATCCATGACCCATGCTGTTAGATACTTAAGAACATCTCAAAAGCAAACTACCTTGTTTCAGCTCCCAGCGGGAGCTCAGCAGGACACTGGATCACATGACTCAAACCCTACCTAGTCAGGTGACTCAAGAGCTAATCTGATTTGGTGACTATAAATCTTTAATCAGTACAGTCGAATGCCATCGCATTCCAGAACTGATGAGGAAGCAACTTGGCGATGTAACACCAAATGCTAATCAGATTGTGAATTAGAACTGCCACTAGGATGCAGTTTTCCAGTTCTCTATCCCATACATAAACCCAGCAGAAAAAAATATTACTGAAAACTGATCAGTCAGACACGTGGCTTTGAAACAAAATATACTGATGTGTTTTATTCCAAAACAATAGCATTTTGCTCATTGCCACAAAAGGACAAGAGCATACACTGAATCTTAAGCCACAATTAAAATGCAACCAAAACATCAATTTGAAATCAAGGAAAACAAATATCTACCTCAACAACACTGTCCTGTTGAGAAACACTGCTCATACAGTATAGCCTCGGCCTGTGTTAACTGAAGATCCCAAGAGTTTACATCTGCACGCAGTAAACAGAGAGAGGCAATGACAGCCATGGCAGGCGTGTTTCCTCTTGTCAAGCTGAAAAGATCTAAAGCACAATTTTAAGAAGTGCTGCTGTTTTGGGGACACTGGGATATTCACCAAATCTGTAGGCTGCAGCTTTTGAAGAGAAATTACAAACATACTTACAGATCAAATTCCAAGCATACCTTTTCCCAAATATTTTGATTGCTCTCTCACTCACCCATTGTATTTCTTCCTTCTTTTTCCTTAAGGAATTCTCACCCAAAATCCTCTTAATCCATTTTAGAATCTGCATTTGACATCGGCAAGCAGTTGAATTGGATCAGCAAGTTTACAAGAAATGGAAAATAGAGATTTGTTCATACTAGAGTTAGGATTTGCAGTTATAATTGACATAAATATTTGATCAGGTCTACATAATATGCAAGCTGCGAGGAAGAAAAATTGGTTATTCTACAGCTTAAAGCATCCTGATCTAGACACAAATGCTTAAACTTCTCCATTTTACAATGCTCTGAGTACAACCACAGTCAGTGCCTGTAGCTCAGATGACAAGAAATAAATTGCCAAGACATTTCCTAACCACTTGCAATTATCTCCATGTTCGTTAGTTTCTCTGAGTTTCAATTCCATCCCTAGAGCAGGAATAACAGGATTTATCTACCTACTAATGTGTAGTTGGGGATGAGGGGGTTTTTATACAGTAACATCTAGAATTACTATTTCTGTGGTCTTGCTTTCTGTCATACAGCCCCTAGTGGGACCTTTTACAATGGGTGGAAATTAATCTTTTGGAAAGTAGATATGTGAACATTAGTAAACCTTTAGTATCATTCAAAGACTGTGAAAAAGTTATTATTCCTGAAAATTAAACACAATTGACTAAAAAATAAAGACACTTCCATAAAACTAGTTTCTTCTATATTTGTCTGAAGTGAAAGGCAGGTAAAGTCAGATGCTGTAAATTGTGTTTTCATAAGCACATATTCAGTTATAAAAGCTTTACTGTATTAAATAAAGGTTTTTTAAAAAGAATAAATTTTTAAAATAGCTTATTTCTACCTGATTTCTAAATTGGTAGCACTTTAATTGTACCCATCATCTTAAAATTTCACGGGAAAAAATAAACAGAACTATTTGAATACTTTTTAAACGTTCAGTATAAGAACTATTTCCACTTCTCAATATATTTTTGTAATACCCGAAACAGTCCCATTATAAAGTTACACTGTAAAAGACACCTTCTCTCTATTTTCAAGGATGTCAACTCACAAAATTCAACAAAAATGTCACTATTTAAAAATACATGAAATTCTGAAATAGCTGCAAGAATCAAAAGTCAGCAACAGGTGGAAGGTTCCACCGACCCCTCCCCACTGTGCATATGCCCTTCTCATTGCATCAACTCAGCAGTATGACACAAAATTAAACGATTAAGAAAGTCGATAGTTACTTCCAAGTCAGATCAGTGAGCTGAATCAGCTCAAGAAAGGATATAAGCACCAGGGTTTGTTGTACTGGAAGTGGAGGGGGGGAAAGAAATGATACTTCCTCTTTTATCAACATGGACCTATTATATCAGCTCAGGAGACATTGAGATTTCCAGTAAACTTGTACTTTATGCAAGAAATTCTAAAAATGATAGGACCAAGCACAATTATCTCCACTTGCAAAATATTTTCATTATATGGGCTCCAAAGCAAACGAGGAAAATAAAGAGAATTATTTAGCCTCTAGTTTTAATTGCTCTGTAGGAAAATGAGGTAAGAAAAAGGAAAAAAGTATAAGACTACCTGTCAGAGAAGTAATAATTAGAAATGGAAGAAAAAAGGTCTCAGCCCTAGATGGATGTTTAGGCCTATTCTGTAAAGTTAATGCAACCTATATTAGTATACATTATTTAAAAAACAAGCAAGGAAATATAAAAGGAAGTGTACTGCTTGAAATAGGGGGAAAAACAATCACTGAGATGAAGTGTACAAAGTATATAATTTGATTCTTTTTCTGATAGGCAAGTTGTGACTTACCAAAGATACCCTCATTGGTTTACAAGCATTCCATTAAAGAGTTCTCTAATGGACATACTGCTATTTCTGATAGTGTTACATCTGCAAGCACTCATATCCAACGTATTTAGATATCTGGGCTCCTGAATGACAGTACAGTAAGAAATATAGAGCTGATGTGATGTTTTGAAGGTACAGAACTCTAAGCTTCAGACTCCTCACTCAATTGTAGACTTTACACCATAGCATCCCACTGACAATAACAGATTCTTGAACTCCTTTAAAAGAATTGTGAATTATGTTTTATGCCTTTATTTTGTAAAAGTCCAATTCCAGATAGCTACAAAACATTAGTCAGATCCTACAGAGATAACATTTCATTGTTATATTTCTTTCTTGCCATGTTTTTAAAAGTCCTTTGATTTCTTCCTCTAAAGACAAATACTTCTTACAATCTACATTTGAAATTAAATTATTCAATATTTTACAGTTTGGCAGCAGATATAAGAAATTAATGCAACCTCTTGATACTCATGTTAAAGATCTTAATGTCCACTGCTTAATATGTAAGGAAGCTTGGCCAGCAGCAAAATGAATGCCATTCCACCAGCTAGCAAGACTAAACGCTGAAACTTCATGCTTCTGAGGTTGAATTTGATATGAAGGAAAAACTTTGATGTTCAGGATTGTTAACCTATTGTTGCTCTTTCTTGCTGTCCATACATAATACAATGATTATTTTCTTCCTCAGTTAAAAAAAAAAACAAACAATAGGCTCAACAACCACAGGTGTTCAACAACCATGGCTTATAGCAAAAACAAATTCATACACTGAAATCAAAGATTGAGGGGGGGGAAATCATAACATGAGAGCCTCATTCAATACATCCTGCTATGTGCAAGCATCTTCAGGTAGCTCAGAATACATTTGAAACACTAATATTAAAAACAAATACTTGTGATAGCGGCTATTCGGTAAGCTCTTCGGTAAGAGATTTCTCTTAAATTCAGAGTACTATAACAAAGTGTTGATTTACAAAGCAAGCATACGAATGTTTTTCATTATAACGCATTTTAATGTCTTTGTATATAATAAGAATAGAAAGAGAAATACTAAGTTCAGCTACTGAACCAATTTTTACATACACTCAGCACAGGGTGGTTGGTTGCTGCCATGTAGGAGGCCACAAGC